GTCTTTCGGGATGGACTGTGTGAAATTCGCTGAGCATTGTTGCGAAGTCGAACGGCGCCCAGAAGAGTGTTAAAGGAGCGGTCCGCGATGACCTATGAAAATGCAAGAGGTTATGTGGGAAGGTAGTGCGGTCCGGAGTGGACAACCCTGTGCCAGTTTCGCGGCGGAAAGTTACGGTAAAGGGATTAAGGCGCAAAGTTGCTTCAGTGGTACATCCCTTTTTCCAGTGACTCCGCCTCCAGACTCCGCCTCCAAAGTCGGCCTTCCAGCCAAAAGTAATGCTCCCGGGCAAGTATCATGGAGTGGATGCATTCAATGTCTCTTGTAGAGTCATAGGGTTCATTACTGGGAATCAGCCGACGGGAATTCGTCCCAGCGCGCGGTCTTTTCGGTCTTTTTATCTACAGTTGTTTGAGGCTAGAGGAGGTCTGACGTTGACAAACCTTCCAACGTTCCTTTTGGCATTTTTTTCTTCATAGATGGTTCACTTGGCGGATTTTCTTCCTCGTTTCTTCAAAATCGCCTAGGCTTTTTATCGTGGACCGTGCCTTTGACGTGGCAACTCAACGTTGTGTCAAGTCAACTAGCTACGAAATACTTTATTAATCTGCTTGACTGGGGCTAACAATCTTCACTCTTGTGCGCTATACAGCATCAGTGGCTGTGAAGCTATGATGATCAGTTTTATTGGGCATCTTGTAATGTTTCAGGCGAACCGAATAGCTTGAATTGTTGAGGCTGCTAGCGTTAATGACAGACCGAGTCTCTACGCTGACCTCTACACGTGCAATTTTTCTGTCATAAAAAGTAATAATTCTACTTGCGTACCAATAATTGCCAAGGCCTGACATCTGTAGTGTGTGCGCGGGCAAGGATGTGTCTGAAAGGAACACAAGACCAGGGCGATACTCTTCTGATTATTGCAGAAATGACGTATGCCAATGAAGGGACATTCTCACCCACTGAAAAACTTCATCAACGGCCAACCTACCCCCTTTCCATCAACGTTAACCCCCCTCTCGTTGCCTGGCCTTTTCACGGTGATGCAAACATTCGTAAGCGGGCTGGTTTGAGCGCGTTTTTTTTTTTTTTCCTGTCGCGCAGAGTCGGGCAGAGCTTTCGTGTCAAGAGGCAGAACATCCTCCTTACTCCCTCTCTTCAAACTCTCCTCTTGCCTATATATATATCCATTGTTCTTTGGAAGTGGAACCATAAGAACTTCTAGGAACCAGCACATAGCTGTAATCCTGTGACTCAGTTCGGTTCAATGAAAAAAATGGAATAATTGCTCAATGAAATCCTTCATAATTACAGCTGAGGGCTGGCCATATCGAACTAGTCAGCGGCAGTGATTTATGGGGGGAATTCCGCCTCTTAATGTTGTCTGGATTATTTCCTACCGTACAGTCGTAACGTTACGAACGAAGTCTTTAAAGACGTCGACCTTGAATTTCATGAATCCTCATATCCTTCATAACTACCTAGAATGACATTCATTCGGTATGGGAACAAAAGGGTAGAGGAATTCGTACAAATGTGTCTGGGGGTGTTCGATTGACCCTTGGCTTAGCTCCACATCCGTGAGATGCGGTAGGCGTGGGTACGCACTCCAATTGAACATATCTTATGATGGGTTATTCTCAAGATATCTAAGCCTTGAACAATTGCTGTCCTGTTTCGTGCTGGACAGAGACATAATTACAATTGTCCCAGGGTAAAAATATCCACCAGAAGCGCAGCTGCCCCCAAATTCATATGAAGTACGCGTTAGGGCCCACCCGCCCCCCCCGGCACCGCATCTTAGAGATCAGAGAGTAAATCAGTTACGGTCGTACGCCACCCTGATAAGATGACATATGTGACTGGGAGCTCCATTCGTAGATTGGAGGTCAGCTGCCTGTATTAACACACAACAGTTATTGAAGCTGCATTCTATTTCGTTTTTTTTGAACTGTATAAAATAAAGGGTTAAAAATGACTGTGGAGTGGCTATTTCAGCGCCTAGGGAAGAAGGCATTTTCGTCTGCTTCTTCACCGTCGAAATTCCATGACGCTGCTGCAATAGTGATTTTTAATAGTGAAACATAAAAAGGAGTTGCTATTCCGACTTATGCCAGAGATATTGTACTTGAATTTCTCTTGGAAGCGATTTCTTAGTAGAGGAGAAGTAACAAGCCTGTCGTTGCCATCTTGTGAGGCCCCAACCACAATGGCATGCGGAGAAGTTAATCACGCAACAAGGCGCAGACACTTGGTTTCCTGTGTGACGAAAATTAAGTCGTACCTACCATAAAAGTACACCTCAATTCAAGAGTATCTCACACATTCATCTTAAATCGAAGCCCTTTCCTTCTTTCTTTCGATTCAACCGGCATGGGGTCACTGCTTTATTGCCTCATGGTTTATTAGTATACATTATGTTACTGTTTTTCGGATGTTTAGTGCTCAGTTTTCTTTTCTTAGCAGTACATCGATTTGTAATAGTCATTGTGTGATTCCATTTTTTTCGTTTATTTTTGTTTCGGTCGTTAAAATGTAAGCAACCTATGCGCTCAACGTGCCTGCTTCTATTGGTGGAAATCACTTCCCACTGTTGACATTCTCGCTTGTGACAAATGGCGCGCTTACCACTCGCGCGGTCCCGGGTTCGAATCCCGGGTCGACTCCCGCCCAGGCCAACCAAGCCTTCTACCCTCCGGGACGGTAAATTGGTACCAGATTCGTCTGGGAGGATAAAACACTGACATCGGCTGGCCACCGCAAGTCATTGTATAGGCCACATCGCATTCAATAAGCCACTACGATTCTGAATGGAAGTAGAATGCGTGCCGCATCCCACAAAGGGATTGATCAACGGCGAAGACTTTATCCATCCTTTGAACTTTTATTCCATGACAGTTAACCCCAGGCGTGATGGGAGGCGATATCTCTGATGGGCGGATACAATTCAGCTGTATGACACATTTAGTAGCCTTACTTCACTGCTTCTGCGGCTCATTCTCTATAAATGTTAACCTTTCCTCTGCCTAGTAGATAAATAAATATATTCACTATGAGAACTAGCCAGTCATAAACATGTTCCTGTGCTGACGGCGTGCTCACAAACTTCGAAAGCCAGCGGATGGGCCAACATGCTGATCGTTACATGTGCCGTTTTCTGTGCAAATTGCCACATTGTTCGAGATGAAAATGTCTGCCAAGGGTTGATGAAGCTCGTAAAACTAAAGGAATCCAGGTGGCAGACAACCTCATATGCGACCTTAATCCAACATTCACTCACTCACTCACTCTCTCTCTCTCTCCTTCTTTTTCAGTGCCGCTCAAAAAGCATCCGTCTATCACTGTTCCATTTACTCACCTTGTACTTTTTTTACTCTGTTGTTATAGGGGCACAGACTCTTTGCTTCACAACCGTATGCGTTGCCGTAGAGAGTTCATTCCTTTGTCGTTCGTTTGGTTCACCACGGTCGCCCCAACTCTTTTCACTGATAGCACCATTTCCAGATGGAAACAAATGACACGCTTCTTCTCGACGACCTTGTCGTCGACGTCTCGGACGAGTTTCCTGTCCCATCGACATCGACATTCATTGACGAATCACCGACTGCTCGTGATCTTCTGATTGGCGACTTGCCAGATGTTGATCCAAACAATATTACCGGAGTTACCGTCAGTACGACGACACAGAATCATACCGTATTTGAAAACGTGTTCAAGACGATAGGTTTGTTGCTTTCACTATGTTTCTCGCCGTTGTAAGTCTAGAGCAACTGAAAGACATGAAATATTACCACATATAAATATTTTTTCAGAGTCATTACTGGACGAAAGCAGCTGGGTAGTTTACACAATTGTCTTTTTTGTAACAGTATTGCTTATCGTGATTACCTGCTCAATAGTGATTTTTATAGTGAAACATAAAAAGTGAGTTGCTATTCCACTTATCCAGAGAATTGTACTTGAATTTCTTTGGAAGCGATTTCCTTCAGACGTTAAGCACCACTGTAAAGTCATTCAAAGACATACTTCGCAGTAATCGGCTGGGCGGAGAAACTGACAGAGGCTGTTGGTTGAGCGGTGCCTAGGCGCAGAGCGCAAGCAACCAGAATCGCACATAGGGGTCAGAGCACATCGTACGTTGGGTTTCGAAGGGTGGGGCCATATTTGCCATCTGGAAATTATTCCGCTTGTTGACTTTTATCTGTACCCTCGCACTCCCTCGATGGCAGTTAGAGAAAAAAAGTGCGGAAAATTTAGGGAAGTCGAAGATGATAGGTAGGATGGGGAAGGCGTACCAGAAGATGAACTTTTGCAGTATTTTGCAAAAATCTTCCCAAACGGCAGGACGTGCCCTGGTGGAGGTAGCACATAGAGGCAGGGGACAACGCTCGCCAAAGCATTTCAAGGTGCGAAGGAATATACGGCGTGCTCGGGACTAGGCTTAACCGAGGGGTGGGACTACGGACAAGTGAGCCACCTATGGTGCGTAAAAAGTTGTAGGTCACAATGGTTCTAGGACTTCAGGCAGACAAGAAGTCCAGAAAATCTCTGGTTGATTGCACTCTGAGCTTATGGGTTTGCTAGGGAAAGGGCCCTTTAGGCGCTGCCGCGTGGCTTCGCTCACTACCGTAGAACCGTAATTTTGATCACACGTGACCGCTTCTTTATGTGATAAAGAGAAATTTCGAAAGGTCAAATGGTTGTATAGTTCCGCCTACTCGTCCGTCCATTCAATCATCGCGGAATGTGCACCCTTCTAGTACACCCTGTCTTTTGCCTCAGTTTTTTTTCGAATTTAATTCGATGTGAAAGTGTAAATTTTCCCTCACCGTTACCTCATCCCCTATTGAATGGTCTCTTATTTACCCAGGGTTTCTCGATTTTCAAAAGATTTTTGAGAGAAGAGCAATCATTACCTTTTAGGAGAGTCATCCAGCAGGACAATGATCCCATTCTGACCAGCACTTACGATGCCGGATTTTCATGGAGAAAGTAAGACTTTTTTATTCCATTATCAATAGGGACACATAATCGATATGGTCGCGATCACTAGGGGCAATATCAGGAGGCGTGGAATGAGTCTACCCGCGGCTGCCATTTCTCCCACTAGTGATTAGTCAACGATCGATTTAGCAAGAAAATAGCCAATGGTGGGAAAGGCCGTGTGGTGGGAAACGTCGTACGTTTATCTGACACCGCTCTGATCAAATGCGATGATATCTAGTGTATCTCTAGGATTCCTCTACGAGTGCTTCTAACTCTTATGAATAATGTCAAGAGCTTACTTAATTCCAGATGCTTGTGCTGTAGAACAGAGGCCGATAAGCAGAGTCAGCTTCAAGCTCGTCAGAACTCGGCCAGCAATTTGGACCCTTACAAGCGACCTCCACTTCCACCGATTGGAGTGAAATCTGGTTAGTCCTTTCTGTCGAGTTTGGCGTATAAGACTGCATTTGAAGCTCAAACTTGGGCTATTCGATTCAGCCACTGCGTGTACCCTTTAGTAATTTTTGTATCAAACGAAAGATGATCTTCACTTAACCGCCTTTAGATGTTATTTTGATTTTGCTGTTATTTGACCCTCTCACCAATAGCTGTAGTTTGAGCGAGCAAACCATTCTTTGAATGTTATGATACAATTATTTTCTCTCAGAAGGCCAGTAGGTACGACAGCTGAGGGCGGGCGGTTACTGCCAACAGGAATGGGTGTGGCCAAGCGCCGTCTCGAGGCCGTTCTACCAGTGACGTTGACAGTAACCGCCCGCCCTCACCAATTAAGCCCACTGCCTTTGAAACGGTTGACTGCATCGCTCGCTTAGCCACAGCAGCTTGAGACAGGCGCACATCTGTTTTAAACGTGAAATGTTTTCTTTCAGATGGTTACATCAGTACATTCAAGCGAACAGATGCACTGAACGGTTTGGACAGGCCATCAACAATCGATGAGAAATCGCTCGCTGTCAATATACAAAGTAAGTGTTATTGATAAAAACTCTGTTGCCGCTCCTATTGTTCTGCGCTAAAAGATGGTTTGTGGGCTGATCGCATTGGCCGAGTGAGAGCACCATCTGATAGGCACCAATGCTCATTTTCGTCTTATTCTTACCATTAGAACGAGAAGGCATTCCTGTGAGGACGGCGAAATGGTCCTGTTCTTCCGCCCATTCGATACTGCCAGTCTTGAAGGCCTCTACATTTGTGTGTAGCTCAAACGATATGAACCGTTCTGCTGACAACTGGGCGTGCATCTACCAGCGGATCCCTCCATAATGTTTACTTAAGGTCGACTCCAATCTTCATAGCTGTCAACGTTGTTTTTCCAAAAACTATAAAGGAGGGGGACAGGCATCCTTTTCACCTTACCTCTATGAGAAATTGATGCTACACTACATCAGTGAGATTCCTGTTCCCTAACTCCATTTCCTGGTGGCCCTAGTCCAGAGGCTGTTGGAAACGCCGTTCAGTTGCAAGATCTGAACCCTGTGTCGAGACAGATAGGTAGTCACATACAGTTGATGTCATCACAATCAATCGGGCATGCCAACGGACATGGGATGGCATTCTCTTCCACTGGCTGTTTTCTTGCTAAATGACCACTTGCCGATGGTTGAATATAAGCCGGAGCGGGCTCATTCCGCCCCCTGATACCGCCCCTATTGCTTACAACGGTATCAACTATTGAAGGCACGTTCGCGATCAGGTATAGAAGTTGGAAATATGGCGTTGGGAGGGTAGTGTGGTCCGCGACGAACAACCTTGTACCGGTTTCGCGGCAAAAAATTGTAAGGGAGGGGCTATAGCGCAATATAGGTTCAGTGACGCCTCCTTTTTTCCAGTGACTCCGCCTCCAGACTCCGCCTTCAAGGCCCGCCTTTCAGTGAAAAACGAAGCTGCAGGACGAAAAAGCATGAAAATCGTCACTTGTACGGTCGTAGAGTTCTTATCGGGGAATCAGCTGTGCGGATGGGGCGTAGTGTTGGAGATGGAGTTCACTGGGCACGCACAAACTGGTGATCGAATGAGGTACTATCTAGAACATCTAGGGCCAGGGTACAGCATCCTTGTGTGAAACA